GGTTTCAGAATATTGCATGAGGAGTTATACCAGTTATACAAAGTCAGTATAGGAGAAGGAGGTATATTGAGCAAGGTAGGGAGGGAGAACAAATCAGTGGAGATTATTAAATTACTCATACATCTTTCCTACTGAAAAGAAAGCTCTCCTTCCTTCTGTGAGTCTGTGATTCCACTAATCGGCGCCTTTGGATTTTTAACACATTTGTAAAAGAGCTGAAATTTAAAAAATAAAATAAAAGAAGTAAGTCCCTCCTGGATATTCTGTTTTCTGACTATTGCCTCAGGATGGGGGAGGGGAAAGTCCAACCATCACATGAAAATGGTTTTCATCATCTGCAAAATTTGATGCCCCAAATAGTCCCATTGTTGCTATAGCAACTAGCATTTATTCCCTCCCCATTCCCTCTCTACCACCCCCCATCCCTTTGCATATTGCTGCATATTTCTATCATCTCTTTCCAGGCACACTTCATAAACACGACTGCATAATAAAGAATGTTATCACCAATGACTTACAACCCAGCTGCTACAACTAAGATATGAAGTGGCGGGGAAATACAATTTCATGCAGCTAGGACAACAGATTGATTGGGTGCCCTTCAAATGTGATGCCACATCTTTAAGTCAGTCCAAATTCAGAAATAAAGTTGATCTCGTCTTTTTCAGTCACCATAGACAATAAATGGTGAAGATAATGCCTGGGAGTCTCATTATGGCTGGAACAATCTTGCCCTGAGACAAGGGATTATTCCCACAGACTCCTTCTCTTGCTCCTTTCCTCATTCACCTCCCCTCCTCCCTCTTGTCAGAAGACCAAGGCTCCAGGATGTATGCCTTTTTGAATTAATAATCCTCTCTCTCCTAGGATTACTACTGCTCCAATTGCTAAGAGCAGGGAAAGGGGGTGGAGTGTCTGGTACAGATGTAGATAAACTGAAATTCTTCACAGCTCTAATCATCTTCTCAAGTTTACTTTGGGAAACAGAGTTGATTTTTTATGCCTTAGCCTTCAGTTCCCTGCTAGAGTTAATGCAACAACAGAGGGCTGCTTCCCAATTTGTTCAAGAAGAGATAGTGAGCAGTCCAGGTTTGGCTCTGAGTTTTTTCTCTGAATTTACAGACATTGGTGACCCTAAAATTTCTCAAACTCTTTTTTAAAAAATGGTTGTTTGCAGCTAAGTCTCAGTAAATCCACCTTTTATTTTTCTTTCCCAGTTCGATGTGATAGACATCATGGGGAGTAAAAAGGAACCATAAGTCACAGTTACCACTTCTTAGTAAATCTGACAGCGAAGTTGGGGGTATATGTCAGGGTCAATACTAATCAGACCCCGTCATACCTTGGAGTTTCTCTAAGAATCAACTATTCTCTGAGCCTCATAACCACCAGCTAGGAAGTCTAGAAGAGGTTCAGGCCTTAACCAAGAAAGCTTTTTTTCTGTACCACCAGAGAAGAGACCAGGCCAGAAAAGAAACCAGACAATCTAAAACTAGGTGCGATCAGAGTTTTGTCCCTGAATACCAAAATTTTGGCAATACTAATAGAACTGTAAGCCTTCAGCAATTAGTACGTAGTTAGCAAGAATAATTAGCCCCACAGCCTCACTCAAGGTGAGTTTCTCCTTATTCTAGCTCTGCCCTACTCTCTCCTCTGACCAATCTTATCAAAAATAGCCTTCTACCTACATATACAAAAATATTTATAGCAGCTCTTTTTATGGTGGCAACAAAATGAAAATTGAGGGAATACCCATCAACTGGGGAATGGCTGTTGTGGTATATGAATATAATGGAATATTATTATGCTATAAGAAATGATGATCAGGAGGACTTCAGAAAAACCTGGAAAGACTTACATGAATTGATACTGAATGAAGTGAGCAGAACCAGAACATTGTACACAGAGCAGCAATGTTGTACGATGATCGACTATGATAGACTTGGCTCTTCTCAACACTACAATGATCCAAGACAATTCCAGTAGACTTACGGTGGAAAATGCCATTCACGTCCAGAGAAAGAATTAGAACTATGCAGTCTGAATGCAGACCAAAGCATACCATTTTCACTTTTTTTGTTTTTTTTCTTCATGGTTTTTCCTTTTTGTTCTGTTTCTTCTTTCACAACATGACTAATGTGGAAATACGTTTACATGATTGCACATATGTAACCTTTATCAGATTGCTTGCCATCTTGGATTGGAGGGAAGGAGGAGGGAGAAAAATTTGGAACTCAAAATCTTATTTAAAATGAATGGTGATATACACAGTAACAGCAACACTGTATGATGACCAACTTTGATAGACATAGCTCTTCTCAGCAATTCAATGATCTAAGATAATTCCAAATGCTTCATGACAGAAAATGTTATTTATCTGGAGAAAGAACTATGAAGTCTGAATGCAGATCAAAGCATGCTATTTTTCCTTTTTTTTTTCTTTCTTGTGGTTTTTCCCTTTGGTTCTAATGCTTTTTTGCAACATGACTAATGTGGAAATATGTTTAATATAATTGTACATGTATGGCTCATATCACAGGCCATCTTAGGGAGAGAAGAAAGAAGAGGGCGGAGAAAATTTAAAATTCAAAATCTTATAAAAGTGAATATTGAAAACTAAAAATAAATAAGTAAATATTTTTAAATGAATGATGAAAACTATCTTTTCATGTATTTGGAAAAAATGAAGTTCTATTTTTTAAAAATAGCCTCTTACTGTCCAGAGGTATCTGTCTCTCCCAAAAAGTTATGTCAAGGATCTTTTTTTTCCATAGGGCTTTGTGGAAAGAACAATTTCCAAGGTCTCTTCCCATAGTCTCCTCTCCCACTCACTAAAATTGTCATTGTTCCAAGTATACTTTGTGATTGTGGCTCCAGATCAGAAGAATGTAAACGGAGGCAGATAGGCAGGCAGGGGAAGATGAGATTAGCCAGAGGGATGAAAGACCTAATGTGAACCAAGGCGGCAGGTGGAAGCCCCTTGAAAGCACATTTCTTCCGCACTTAAAGCACCCAGGATAGCACCATTTATGCAAAGAAAAGCATTCCACTGACCAATAGTATCAAGAAGCTCTCCACAGGCAAATTTGTCAGATGGAGAATCTAAGAGGAGTCACTAAGGTGAAGAAAAGAGAACAGAGAATAGTGAGAGTCCTAGAATTGTGCTTTCCTATTTTCAGGGGGAAACTCTAAAAGGAAATTTGGAAACTGCAAGCAGGAGAAAATGAAGCAATCAATGTTAAGCACATCAGCTGATTGTGCAGCACTGGGTCTGGAGTGTGAAAGACCTGAGTTCAAATCTAGCCTCAGACACTTAACTAGCTATGTGACACTGGGCAAGTCACTTAACCTCTGCCTCAGTCAATTTCCCCATCTATAAAATGGGGATAATAATAGCACCTATATCCCAGGGTTGTTTTGAGGATGAAAATGGAATAATATTTATGAAGCTCTTTACAAACCTTAAATGCTAGCTATTGCTGCTGCTATTATTATTATCTTTACCAGCTGGTATTGGACTTTTCCTACTTTTCACCATGTAAATACTTCTTTAAACAAATTATTTCATCTTTTGAGGCCAAAACCACCTGGCTGAAACCAGTAATCAATTCACTCTTAGTTGTGTGGAGATGAAACTTCTTGACTAGACTTGATTGTACTGACTGCTTTGGTTTTGGCTGAGTTCGCGTATAATAAATCATCTACTGCTCTACTTTTTGGTTGGGGGGGGGTCCAGGGACCACTTCAAGACTTGAAGTGGGACATTGTTATTAGCAAGGATCCCAAATGTCTGCATCATATTAGCTGCCAAGAACAAATTACTTTAATCCTGTTGTTATTCCCATATAATTTGCTTTGCTTCACTGTCCCATAAAGTGCCTCAGATTTTGCCTAGGGAATTTTGGGATGGGGCTCAGTTGTGTGAGTACGATTGGGAGGAAGAGGAAGGGCCTTTCAATTCCACATCCATCTCAGGGTCAATGTGTCTAGTGCCACCTAAAACCAAACCCAGAAACAGTTTATGAGGGAAGAACTCACCTGGCCTCTACCAATATTAAGCCATTATAAAATGCCAGCTATTATAATTGTTATAATTATAATTAGCACATTACCTCATTTTCATCTTTTTAATAGGGTTCAGATAAAAACAATCCGAGAAGAAGTTACTATCCTACTATTATTTTTGTACATAGTATTTAATGTTCTGCAGACTGTTAAGCAGGTAAATAAAATGATTACTTTTTGTAATTAAAAAAGCTAATTGGGATAGGATCTCATATTCTGTAAACTTGCTGAAAGCTTTTCTGGGGCAAGTCCAGTAGCATACAAGGAAATGTGTATGTGGCATATGCCTCATCTACTTCCCACATAGTTTTGTTCTGCTAGGTCTCTATATTTTGAAAGTTTTTCATTGGAGATAATGAGAATTCACTATGGTGAAATCTATTAAAACATACTGTTTTTCAAAATTTTATAAATCAATATTATGTCTAAATGTTTGTGGGTAACAGTTCTCTAAGGATCTAATTTCAATTGAGTTTATCTGCTGAATTATCAGTTATATTTTGGGTAGTTAATTTATGAAGGATGGCAAATATTTGGCATGCCTCTTGCCACCTAATCATGTTTTTCTAGGAATTCAGTGTATCCTAATTTTTTGCAGTCTCTTATTTACTTTCTATCATTTCATTGCATAATCTGCACCAATCAATAAGTCCAGTTTCATTAATGATGATCTTCCTATAAATACAGTGGGAATGACTTAACACTGAATCACTATCTTAAATTCTTCCATTTTTATAAACAAATCTGCATATTCCACCATTTGTTCAATGTTTCCTTGGCAACACAGTATAATGAAGGGAGGCGCGGCTACGGTTGCAATACTGCACATGGAAGAAGTGAGGGAGCCTACTCCTGGAAAGGCATGATGACATATAATGCCTTGGAGAAATCTGAAGCACGTACAGACATTCTGTAACTGGTTCTGGTCTACTAACCACAGGGTGAAGAGGATCCTCTTTGATTGGCCATGGAGTTGGAACTAGGGTGCATTCAAGAAGACAAGGACTTTCTTGGCACAGGCTTTTCTGGGTTTTCTGGAATAAGAGAGGGACAAGTTGCTGAGGGTCTCTACGTAGGGAAGGGGGCTCTGACACTCTCTCCCCAAGAGCCTGCACAAAGCCCAGAAGACATGGCCCCTGCTTTTGCTTCTGTCTCTGTTGTATCCATTCTTTCCTGCTTCTAGGTAAAACAGATCTAGGTGAAGGATTATGAGCTTCAGAAAGTCAGAAGCATGGGCCAACCAAGGTCAAGGAGTAAAATCCAGGCTGGGTTTATAGCCAGCCAGTCCAACTTAGATGCCTAGAAGAACCACCTTCAAAACAGTTGTAGCTGAGTCCCAGACTCGTCCAACAGCTGTTCTGTGCTTCGACATGAATTTTCTGGGGTAAATTCTATGTAGAAACTGCGTTAAATCTGAGCTCACTCTCCCCAGGAACTATAGTAGGCATTGACAAACTATATCCCCTGGGCCAAATCCACTCTGTTGCCTATTTTTGTACACCTGGAGCTAATAATGGTTTCTACATTTTGAAATAAAGTTTTATTGTATTTTAAAATGTAAAAACCATTCTTAGCTTGCTGTACCAAAAAAAAAAAAAGGCAGCAGTCTGGATATGGCCCTTTGTTGACCCCTATGCTGTAGGGCCAGCAGATTTGGCAAGAGAGAGGTGGGTGTGGGGCAGGTGGAATGTTTGTACTTATGATCTTGCTATATCTGCAAAGGAAAATCCCTTTGTAGAAGGTAATTGATGTTAACTGATTAAATGGCACTGGAAGGTTCATGTCATTCTAATATTGAATCTGCACCTAAGTCAGGCCTAGAACAAAACAATTGGTACAGTCATGCAGGATCCAAACAAAATAGATACTCTTAGATTACCGAACGGTTAACAAAAGGAGATTCATTTAGTCCTAATAACGGAAGGATATTCAACAAGGATAGGCACTGAAAACACCACAAATTGATTCAGCTGAGGGAGGTCACTCAGCCTCTGAGTTAGCCATTGTGGTCTGCCAGCCAAGCCTCCAAGAAAGGCTAGAGTTCCTCATAGTTGTTTTGTATTCAGCTAACCAAGAAGTGATATCAACACTTTCATTCCCTGAGCCAATCAAATTTCAAGGACAGTTGTTAATAACTTTTAAGGAAAGAGTGGCCTTTCTTGCATGGGGATAGAGTAGTTACAATACTGCTCCCCCTACCTCCACCTCCTCTCTATCTTCTAATTTCTTTGCTTCTCATTCTTCCATAGCATCATTTTAAAATTGATGTTGAATTGTTTATTTTGTTGTTTGTGTTGCTTTGACTTCTTGTACTCCCATGGTAGGAATGACATTCTTTCCTAGAAAATTATTTTACACATGATAAAAGCTAAGCTAACAAAGAACAGGATCAAGAAAGTGTTAGGCACCCAAGCTGAGCTACAAAATAAGCCAAGTTCTAAAAGTCAGAAGGACAGGGTCCAGTACCTACACAGGAAAAAGCCTGGGCAAAGGAGCTGAAGAGGAAGATGGAAGGCTGTGTTCAGGGTACCTCAAGGAGGCCAGTTTGGCTAGAATACAGAGTGTGTGAAGGAGAGCCTGAAAAGGTAAACTAAACTAATGCTAGACACGTGTCTCTTGGGCCTTTTCTCTCTAGCATTCATGATGCTCTTCCTCTTGACAAACAGAAAGCAACATCTGTTTAGCTTTCCCCCTTCTTCACACGGGCTTTCCAAATCATAAAGCAAGAAGAAAAAATTTAGAGAAAGGCAGAAAGGAAAAAGAAAAGTATTCCATATCCAAGCTTCTCTTTCTTTCAGGCAACTCCTTAAATCTGAAAAAGAGGCAGGGGGAGAGAAATGTTGCTTTCCTAAGCTCCTCCCACATGGAGGGGAAGTTCAAGAGAATAGAATTACTTTTAATTTTCTTTCAATGCCAGCCCTGGGTGGGGAATTCCATTTATCTTTCTCACCTTGAGTAAATTGAAAAAAAATCAACTTTGTATTCCAGAGATGATGAGGGTCTCTGTAGGACAGAAAGTTCAGATTTAATTTTTTTCTTCACCTAAAACCTTAAGCCCCTAACATCATAAAACATCTGTAGAGGCTATCAAATGATTGGGTCACATAATCTATGGGAACATTAAAAAAAGGAAAATTGTGCAGAAAAATGGCATGTTGTCTACCTCCCTCCCCTTCCCCCTGCTCTCCCTCTTCTGTCCATGTTTTTGTCATTCCAGGTCAGACATCTGCTCCTCACTTCATAATTCTGCAAAGTGATAAATGCCCCCATGCACCAACTCCCACATCCTGCATTTCATTCCCTGTCAATCTGGGGGAGAGCAAATCCACTCTGCTGCCATTCTTTGTCCTACGTGAAAGCCCTGATGTGGAGAATTTGTCTCCCTCTTTCCTGTCACACTACTCATGAACGCCCATGAATCAAACAGGACTGCACATTAGCTCCCATGTCAGATCACTAAGAGCAGGGGGGACTTTGATCACTGTAGGAAGAGAGCTTGAGGTACACCATAATTTACTCAAACAAGACTGACTGAGGGTTCTTGCCAACCCAGGCGTAGTTATTAAAATAGAAAAATAGTTGTAGAGTCAGGGAATATTTTTAAAGACTTGCTACAATTGAATACTTTCCCTCCAAGCACCTGAGATCACATTATCTCAAGGAGCCTTTAACTTCCCCTTACCTCACTCTCCCCTGAAGAATCAGGCCTCTAACACTTGTGTATTGTTTGGGAGTGACCTGCCTCTAGGAGAAGCTAGGAGATAGAAGAATAGATGTTCTATTATTTACAATTTTATTGTATTTTTAAATTTTTAATACGAGTAAAAGTACTGAATACATTATAAGCCTATCTGTCTATATGGGCTACCAATTCCAAAATGTGACTAGGGTTCAGTGAGCTATAGCTGATTGAGGGAAGAGACATATTTCTGTTGGGTAGGGGCTCAGAGCTATTCTGATTGGATACATTCAGACTGACTACATAAGATGGTGTGGTCATGGAATGAGTGATGGAAATTAGGCATAGGTCATCCAATTCTTCAAAGAATCATTGACATTTTGGCATTTCCCCAGCATTCCCCTTCAGTGTAATGGAATATATGGACTTGAAAAAAACTTCCTATTGAATAGAACCAAGACAGGAGCTAGCAATGTTGTCTAGTGGTTAAAAGAGCTTTGGACTTGGAGGCAGAAAACCTGGGTTTAAGTCTAAGTTCGACCATTTACTATTTGTGTCACTTTGGGCAGATAATTTCATCTCTCTGGGATTTAGAGAGCTTCTAGTCTACCCTCTTCCTTTTACAGAGGAGGAAACTGAGGAAGGAAGTTATGACTTGTTCATAGTCACACAGCTAGTAAGTATCCGTGCTAGGATTTGAATCCCAGTCTTTCTGATTCCATGTCCAGTGTTCTATCTGCTATGCCATGCTATATCCTAATTGAATTAATGTCCTTCCCACCTTTGACAACCTATGAGATTATGTTCCATGATCATTATGTAACTGGAAGGCTCATTCCCAGGAGCTGGGCATTGTGGGAATTTCCCTGCCTCTCTGAAGGAGATGACTCTGGAAGTGCCTGGACTGGACTGTAATAATTCTTCATTGACACAGTAAAAGTGAAGAGAATTAATTTCTATTCAATATTACCTCTTACAGGCAAATGGAAAATGCCCCTGGGCTAAACTGCATATGTAAATACTGCAAAAGCTATGAAGCTGGGATTCCCAACCTGGAATATGCATACCTCCAGGGGGTACAAGAAACTTGTCAAGAAGATATGGGAGATATTTGATAAATAACTATATTAGCCTATTGAAATAGTCTAAAAGTAGTGGTTTCAGGAGGAGAAAAATCAGTGAATTGGAGAACAGTGACAAGGCAGGGGCCAGTGGGAAAAGAAGGGAGGATTGTGGTGCATCTGAAAAAAAAAATTTAAGATACATTTAGAGGAATAATTCCAACTGACCAAAACCAAATGAAAGAGATTAGGATATAAAAACTTTTTCATACTGAGGTAGTAAAAAATCAGCAAAAATAATCCAGTGAGAGATGAACTAATTGATCTCTAAAATAACCAGAAACTCTAGCTCGATTTCTAATCATTGAAGTTACAAAATTTCTTATGAACCCTCGGATAAACATATCCCATTCTTACTAAATGTGCTGACAAGCTTTATTTTCTTTTATAACCTTCTCTCCATGAATGAGAATTCTCAGTCCTGTTCACAATCAAATCCAAAACAACGAAAAACTGGAGGCTGAACATGGTATGTAGGTATCTCTTTCAAAAATTCTACCAAGAATAAAAGTCAAGTCAACTAGTATCTATTAAGTGTTTAATGTGTACCAGGCAGTGTGCTATGCTCTAGGAACACAGATTCAAGCAGAAGAAAGAAAGCCCCTGCCTTCAAGGAGTTTAATGGGTGAAGACAGGGGTAAGGGTGGGGCAGAAAGGGCAGTACCCTGAGCAGGGACAGGATAAGAAAGTCCAGAGAGTTAGGATTGCAACCTAGAGAGGAATGAAGAAATAAAACTATTGGTTGGGGGAAAAAAAAAAGAAACAGAACCAGAAACCAGAGGTCTCACTAATTTATTTGACTATTCTTATAAACATTGAACAATTTTATGATACTAAAAATGTTACATACCAAACGAAGTTTTCTTTATTAAATATTAACCTCCATTTTATTTTTTATATGCATATGTATAGTAAACTCTAGAATGCATTTCTTTTCATATTGTATAAGGGCCATGGAAAGTTTACTGAGAGTCAAGAGGTAAGAGGACAAGAACAGAAATGGGAACCATTCACCTGTCCCAGAGTTATCCTAGAGAATCGCTTGAAGCACAAACAGATTGCACGACTTACCTAGGGTCACGTAGCAAGTAAGCTATGTCAGAAGCAGGATTTGAATTCCAATATTCCTAGTTTTAAGCCTGCCATTAAGCAACTTGCTATGATGTTGCTACCCAGCTAACCAAAAAGAAATTTAAGTGGTTTTCCTGGAAAAAAATTA